TATAATTAAGCAGAATATATATAAGTTCACTTAAAGTTTTAATTACTTTCTGTGGTTTTATTTTTTTATATTTTTTTATTTATACATTTAAGAAAGTTTGACATAAATTTAGACAGTTAAAACTTACATGTATCCAAATTAGTATATTCTTTTCCTTGATTTTTCATACATAAATTCAATCAGAATCTCTTCAAAATCTAGACTTTTTGTAACTTCGCTTTTGATAGAGATTAATACCAATCCAGATAGTCTTTCACTAGACATTAAAGATCGTAACCTGTTCTTAATCCTTTTTAGAGTTGAAAATGATCTTTCGCTCAAAAAATTTGACATGGGAATGGATAAAAAAATTGTCTTTGAAGTCGTCATCTACATCATTTTCATACAACTCCTAAAACCTTTTTGAAACTTCAACCACTGGTGTTTGAAGTTGAGCTTTTGCGCCGGACAAATGAGTTTTTAGATTATCACAAATAATATTAAAAGTGTCTTGTACAAATGATTGCCTCCCATTTCTTTGCGTAGCATCTTCAGATTGACTTTCATCTAAAGTTTTGGACTTAGGTATCCACCTCTTGCAAGATGCAGTACATGATATTTCTATTTTATACACTTCTTGCGCCTCTATTTCAAACTTTTCGAAATTTCCTCTAACATTCTAAATAAGTGATTCATATAATGGGACAATAGTTGATAGGTCACAAGAGTATGACTGCAGTGTTTTGTTGACCTTTTGATTCTTTGAAGCAATTTGTCCCAGATTATTGTTAATAATACATTTTCGAAAGTGTTGATTTTCTTCAGGAAACAATTTGCTTCAGTTTTATCATAAACCATTTGTGTCAAAATCAAAGTGATGGCATTGTAGTCTTCCTGTAGCGCTCGAACCGCATCTGCATTACCAGACCACCTGGTTCCAGACAGCAATTTTAAAGTTAGTCCTCCTTTTACGTTTTTTATGTTGAAAGTGAATAATTCCCACCTACGTGGAGAAGCTGAGAAGAATGTGTACAATGCTTGCACAAATCCAAAATAAGCAGCTGCAGCTCTACACGACTCCACTACATTCACTCCCACCTAATTAAGAGAGTGAGCAGAGCAGGGAACAAATTCTGATAGAGTATATGCAGCTTTTAATCTTGCTTGCAACCCAGAGTATCTTCCAGCCATGTTATTTGCGTTGTCATAGGATTGTCTACGACAATATTGGAGATCTATTCCAAGATCTTGAAATATTTTGGTTACTACTTCATATAAATGTTCTGCACCGTGGTTGTGGATAGGAACAAAAGTCAGAAATTGTTCTACTGGAACAGACTACGAATTCACATACCTCACCACCAAATACAGCTGGTCAATGAGTTATGTCTGGTGTAGAATCTATAATGATTTCGAAGTACTTGGCCTCCTGAATTTCTTTAACAATATGTTGTTGCACTTTGTAGGACATAACTTTTAAGTTTCCTGCCACAGACTGAGACGACAGATAGTTGACATGGCCCTTTCCTTTATTACCATGTTCACCGATGTGACCTGCTAAGAAAGGATCAAATAATCAGCAGATTAACTCTAATAAACCTAAAAAAATTGCTGTTTTATTCAGAACCAAAGGTTTCATTATCGCCAAAAATACCTAAACCTCGCTGTGCAATAAACTTCAACAAAATGCAAAATACTTCATACAAAGTGCAAAATACTTTAACAACATGCACTACACGGTGCAGAACATTTATATCTCTCCAGTATGCATGCTCATTTTGATTTTGTTGTGCCATTTGGCTATCAATATGCCCAGTAGTTTTGGAAAGTTGAGACAATTGGCACACACTAGTGTGTGCCAATTCAGTGTGGATTAAGGGACTGGAAGAATGTCACATCAAGACTAGGCAGTCACGAAACGTCACTTTTGCCTGTTACTAGTTAGTAACAGGCAAAAGTGACGTTTCGTGACTTCCTAGTTTTGATGTGACATTCTTCCAGTCCCTGAATCCAGTGATGCAAAGACCTTGATCGCTGTTTCCAAAAAGCTTGCAAACATAGCAAAATACTGATTTTGAACTTGGAGAATATATGAGCCATTCCTATTGATTCTTTTCACCTTTTTTTTTAGACGGAAAAAAATGTTCTTTGAACACGTTCTAACTTTTTGTCCAATATTTCGTCTCGAATCAGATATAAATTCTACATTTTGCTTTGGTGGGTTAAGAACAAAATGTTCTCGAATTGTTGAATTCATGGGGGGCCACAGAGCAGGATCATCCAGGTTATCAGACTTATTTTGCAATGTTACAAGTGAATATTCAATATTAATTGAACAGGGATCTCTAAAGGCAATTTCTTCTTCCAAAGCAATTTCTTTTTTAACTGCAATTTCTTCAATAAGAGGATTTTCTTCATGAGGAGCATTTTCTTCATAAAGAGCTATTTTTTCATGAAGAGCAATTTCTTCATCAGGAGCACTACAAACAACAAATTTATCCAATGACATGCATTTACGTTTTTCTTGGACAAATTTTTCTTCTTTTTTCTTTACGTTTGGAAGAAAAAAGAAACAATTCCAATAGCTCAATATAGAATATACCGTATTATCAAGCCATGCGGTTTAGATTTGTTTTGAAAATGCATTACACTTCTTATCAATGATCAGAAAATAGGAATTTAAATAGTAATATTTATATTCGCTCTCTGGTTACACGAAAAAGTTCGCCCAAGTTCTTTTTTACACAAAAAATTATTTATAAAAAGAGGTTAAAGAAAAAATTAAATCACTACTTAAAATTTAAATCTTAAACTTAAAATATCATAAAAATTCGTATTATAAAAATCCTGAGGCAAGAAAAGTAAATTAAAATGTATATACCATCAGTGTAAAATCATCTTCAAAATCTTCATTTTTACTGTTTTCTAGCTCATCTCTGAAGTTCTTAATTTCTGATTCAGCTAATTGGCGACCTTTATAAGTCATAATTTTATGCTTTTTTAAGTTAACATTTGGCCAAAAGTTAAAATTTGGTCAAAATGTTTTTCCGGACTGTTGTGGACCATATGTTCATAATTTTACTTCAGAAATGCAACAGAACATAAGGTTTTTGAGATATTGTGTAAAACAAGGTATATTTAAAAACGCCAAAAGGCATACTTCAGATCTAGCGAGAACGCCAAAAGGCATACTTCAGAGCGAAAAGGTTAATCCAAACAAATCATCTTGAAATTTACCTAAAAATTTTGTAAATGAAATAAATATTTTTAAATTCTACTGTTACTTCAGAAAAGTTCTGATGGGCTAAAAAATTATTAAAAGCTGAAAATTAGGGGGCCCCAAAAATTTTAGGGGCCCTAGAATTAGGCATTATGTGCCTTGAAGATCAGGCCCTGGTTAGACAACATTTGTTGTTGTTTTTGCTCAGACTTTGTAACTGTAACTTTATTTTGCAACGCGATTTATGTATAGATATAATTAATATTATTTATAAAATTGAACCCACAATAAATGTGAGATATGAAATTTACAAGCTCATGTTTACTACTTTGAAATCCTTTTACATTTCTTTTGATGGCACAATATATAACATAGTATGCGGATTTGTCCAAAAAGGACGTCAATCAGAATTTATATTATAATTAGAAGTAGAAGATCATTGGCTCTCTTCTGCGAAGAAGTTCATTGAGCATAAATTGCTACATTACTTTAAAAATCCCCCAGCAGTAATTTATATTTAAAAGAATACTCTTAAAATGAAAGCGGCAACATTATATTAAGATTGCAAATAAATCAAAAATATTATTTTTAATAATAATTAATTGATATACAGTGATTATTTTATAATATAAAATTGTATAACATTTAGTATATCTTTGATAATTGGGGCTTAATATACTGTTTTGTTGAGAAACACTTTGAATTTTGTGTTGATTTTATATTCATCTTCAATAAATGCTACAGACGGTATTTTATTTTATTTTTGTTGTCCAGTCAATGTATACAGCGCTGAAGTGGAGTAGAAGAAGAAAGAATATAAGAAAAGGACCCCATGTATCCCCGTAGCATATTTTAATCTCAGGGGAGAGGGCAGATGATTGGGAAATATTTTTACAAATTCCCAATTTCGTCAAAACGCTGTATCAAATTTATTCCTGGTTAATACCCTGTGTGTGTATATATATATATATATATATATATATATATATATATATATATATATATATATATATATATATATATATATATATATATACATATACATATATATATATATATATACATATATATATATATATATATATATATATATATATATATATATATATATATATATATATATATATATATATATATATATATATATATATATATATATATACACACATCTGTGCATGTTTATATAGATAAATATAAACATGTGTGTGTGTGTGTGTGTGTGTGGATATATATATATATATATATATATATATATATATATATATATATATATATATATATGTATATATATTTATTTAAATATATATACATATATATATATATATATATATATATATATATATATATATATATATATATATATATATATATATATATATATATATGTATATATATTTATTTAAATATATATACATATATATATATATATATATATATATATATATATATATATATATACGTATATATATACATATATATACATATATATATATATATATATATCTATATAGATATACATATATATATACATATATACATATATATATATATATGTATATATATGTATATATATACGTATATATATATATATATATATATATATATATATATATATATATATATATATATACACACACACATACATATATATATATATATATATATATATATATATATATATATATATATATATATATATATATATATATATATATATATATATATATATATATATATATACACACACACATTGTATGTGTGCATAAAAAAACAGTTTTATATATTATTTTTAAATATATAGATGATCACAATCGTGTTGAACTTCATGGAAGTGAAGAATCAGACTACATAAATGCATCACACATCAAGGTTTTAGATTTATAAATATATATTGAATCAAAGTTGAAAAAAAAACTTAATGCGTTTAGCATTTTTTTTTAGTTGGCTATTGGAGAAGATATCATGCGTTATATTATTACCCAGGTAGATAATGTATAATGATTTTTTTTTTTTATATATACTAAATATCATTTCTTGATATTTAGTATATAAAATTTATTATTTAAGATTAAAATTTACAATTTACAGGTTACTGGTTATTACAGGTTACGTGTATATATATATATATATATATATATATATATATATATATATATATATATATATATATATATATATATATACATATATATAAGGGAGAATGGAGTTTCATGATATGCTTTTGGTTTTTGCTTTATAACAATTATATAAAATAGTTTGCAGAATAAATTTATACCTACAAAGTTAACTTTATTAATTAAACCAAAATATTGCAGGGTAAACTTGTGAGACAATTTAAAGTAAAATTGGGGTACCTTGATCCAAATTGATCTTTCAGCCAACCTCCCATCATTATCACATTGTTGTAATATTCCTTCTCTTTCTTTTTTTCTATAAATACTATAATGGGCACTGCTCTAAAAAGCTAGCGTCTCTTGTGCCACCTACTAAAATTCATTATTGTGTTACATGGCATTTTATTAAGTCTCATCTTTTTACTGTGACTATTTCTAAGTGCTCCAAAAATTCTTATTTGTCTAGTTTTTTTCCTCTAACTTCAGTTCTTTGCAATTCACTTTCTTCATCTTTTTTTTCCTGATTCATATAATTTGCAATCTTTAAAGCTGTCTGTTCAACATTATCTTGCTCTATAAACTTCATCTTTTCTCTTCCAGTAACTTTTAACTCTAAGAGTATTTGCTTACAACCTTGTTGGAACTGGTGTTAAAAAAAAAAAAATTTAAATATCATAATTTTTTTGTCAAAATATATATGTGTGTGTGTATAAACTTAGCTAAAAACTTCAACTTTATGTTGTATATAATATAAATTTATTTGTGTAGACAAAAAAATCTTATATAATCAAATAAATAATATTTGTGTAGACAAAAAAAACTTATATAATCAATAAATAACATTCACAAAAAATCAAATAATTTTTAATAATTGAGACCAAGTTTTAATATGAAAAAGATTGAAGTGAATTTTAAGTATAATAAGAAGAGCTTACTTTAAAATGAAACTAAAGTGACATAAGAAGATCTTACTTTGTACATAATAAGCATCTGCAAAGTGAGTTAAAATTAGCTTTAATAATTAAAATAATTTATATATGCCATTTTTGAAATCCAAATTTGGTTATTTAACTATTAAGTTGGTTATAGTTTTTTAGTTTTCATCTTCAACTCTTATTTAAAAAGACCTTGTTTTATTTGTTGTTTTTTTTTATTTTTTAATTTTTTTTATTATCTATCAATCTTGAAACAATATTGGTATTACCTTTTCCATTCACCATAATACTAATAATGTTACCAATGTTGTTATAATTACCAGCCATTTTTTGTTATATTTAAAAATAACATCTAAATAACTCTTTTGATTGTTTTATAAATTTGTTTATCTGGATCAAAATTCTTAGGTGCATATATTAATTTATTAGCAGAGAAAATTAAAAAAGTTTAAATTTAGTTATTATAAACAATATATGTAAAATATAAATAATAACTGTATTAAAATATTATTATTTAATTTAAATATTTACAATTTACAATAAAATCTGTAAAATAGGTTATAAAATCTTATCATTTTCACATTTATTTGAAAAGTATAAATAAAGTGGCATTTTTGAACTTTATGTTGGTTATCAAATCTTTTTGAAAAATTTAAAAAGTCTAGTATAAATAAAAAAAAATTTAACTGTTTGTTAGATTACAAAATCTTCTTGAAGACTCATTTGAAAATGTATAAATAAATTTTTTTAACTATTTATAACAAAAATAAGAAAAAATAATTTTAGTATATATATATATATATATATATATATATATATATATATATATATATATATATATATATATATATATATATATATATATATATATATATATATATATATATATATATATATATATATATATATATATAGGGTAATGTAGGGTAATTTCGGCGTATTAAGCTATTTTGCTGTTTATAGATAACGGTTGCTTTAATAATGTTAAAAAATCATGCATATCGATGCACTGCAGATATATCTATAAAATAATAGTTAAAAAATTGTTTCCAACTTACAAAGTTTTACGTAAAACCTCTTTTACAAAATACTCAAAAATGACGAAATTAGCGACCTAGTATGGTATTTTCGGCACTATGGTACGGTAAATTCGGCATAGTTATGAAAATTAAGAAGTTTGCTGAAAACGCATTAATATATTTAAAATATTATAAACAGCTATAAATCTGGATTGTATAAAGAATTGTCTCTTAAATAGAATTTGTTACACCTAATTGGCACTTAATTAAGGGCGTTTCAGTTGCAAAAAATAATAATTTTTGAACCACCTATTTATGTATGAATGTCATGTATTTTTAAAGTATGAATGTCACCTTTTTTATTAAAGTATGAATGTCACCCAAAACAGAAACCTTATTAAATATAAATGTGCTTCCAAAGTATAATTGTTAATGAAACGATCACTAATTTCTACGATTTCGATGATTATTTCTAAATTCTGTTTAAATAAGAATTTATGTTTATAAGCTCATAAGTAGTTCATAAAATAATATTTTACATAACTTCAATAGTTAAACTTAAAAAAATAAAAAACAAAACTCAAAGGAAACTTTTTTAACAAGAGATTTATTTAAGAAAGTTAAAACACATTTTATCAATATATGACATATAACTTTTTTTTTAAGAATCAGTGCTTTATACAGTCATCACAAGTAAATACTTTTTTAGTATAAACACCACATATAGCAGCACATGTTTCATGCCACCATCTACAGCATTTAAGGCATATATCCCAATTATCTTTTAAATAAGGATCAACAGGATTACCATAACTGTATTGACACTTTGCACAAAGTTGTTTATTAATCGCACCTTTAGCATCAAGGTATTTCAAACACGTCTTTTGATGAGTAGATATACTTTTTTTAATGCACTTTTTACATGGCTGTCTGTTCTTATATTTCAAGTTTAAAGATTCCTCTAGCTGAGATTTATATGGTGATCCAGTATTTTTTTCAGCATGATTTACCCTCCTTTTTATACCTGTTTGCTTTGCATTTTTAATGTCACGTCCAGCTAGTGATCCAAATGTAACACCATAAGGTTGTGAGGTTTCATCGTGTGAGGTGGCTAATTCTGATGACTTCTAAAGTGTAAATGATGAATTTGGTGAAATAGATTCTAAATAAAAATTATATAACTAAAGAGGGTGAATAAAAATAGGCAACATGCAAATTATAAAAAATAGTTAAAATGTTTTTAAAAAATTTGAACTTTCTTTAAGAAACCTTTTTTTAGGTTAATAAAACAACAGATAAGTTAATATTTTGCTTGATTTTAAAAAAGTCATATTTGTATTTTAAATAAAATGCGGAAGATGCTAAAAATAAAACAACATTTATGACGATTTACCTTTTTGAGTGTCAATTAAACAATCTGTAACAAAATCAATATTATCTAATTCTTTAGCAGAGTCTAAAGAATTAGATAATATTGTCTCACTAATTCTTTAGTGAGAGTAGGGTGCATTTCAGAGGTATTATTTGGTTTTGAAATTTTTGATACAACATACGAGTGATCAGTAGCCTTGGCTGCAGCAAAGTCTTCTTCAGTAAACACATTTCTATCAAATGGATATATTCCACATTTTTTTAACCCTGACTGTCAATTTTGAACAGTTCAGATTTCCCATAGGCTTTTCCAAATAATTCACCAACCTCTAGTTTAGTTACAAGACGACCAGGATGGTGACGAAGCCAAGTACTAACCTCCTGATTATAGAATATTTTGAGGCTTTTAAAAAACGAAACATCAAGTGGTTGCAGTTTGTGGGTGCAGTGGGATGGAAGTGATAAAATAATAACATTTGAGTGGTGCGCTTTTTTAATAACACTAAGATTTTTTTTATGACTTGAATGTCCATCTGGTTGGTTTCTTGATTGAGGCTAGACTGCTTGTAAAAAATGATCAAACCATATTTTAAACAACTCAGTTGTTATCCAGCCATTTTTGCTGCCACCAGAAATAGAACCTATTGGGGCTTAATCTAAAAATACAGGTTTCACTCGAATACGTGGATAGATCAACATCGGAGGGACAAAAAACCTGCTTGCTGATTGGCAACAAACTATTGTGATTGTTTTACCTCTTTCGGAGCTTGTTAAGCCACCAACACTGTGTTTTTCCTTAAGAGCAACAATTTTTCCTGGTTTATGGCAAATAGACAATCCAGATTCATCTAGAACTTCTACGAGCTCTTTTTCTTGAAAAGCTGAGAGTGTTGTTGGGTGTCCTGCACGTAACTTTTTAACAAAATTATCAACATGTGTTCGTTTTATATAGTCATGTAGTGTTTGTCTTGGTATTTTATATTGTTTAGCAGCAGAATATTTCGAGCAACCATCAACTAAAACTGCATTTACTGCCAATTTTAATGATTCTTTCGACCAATTACCATATTTTACACGTTTTGAACTCATTATATGATGCTGTAAAATAATGTTTACATATATATATATATACATACATATATATATATATATATATATATATATATATATATATATATATATATATATATACATACATATATATATATATATATATATATATATATATATATATATATATATATATATATATATAATATATATATATATATATATATATATATATATACATATTCGGCTAATTCGGCTCTGCCGAAATTAAGAACTATTTATAAGCCGAAATTATCTCCTTAAAGCAGTCCTTGGGAAAACTCTTATATCTTGTGAAATACTTTGAGTTAATTTTATTGTTGCTCACATTTTGTTCAGTGTATATTTTTGAATGAAATAAATACAAATTTTTGGTAGAAATTTTCGGAAAAAATTATTTATCCTCTATTTTCAAAAAGGAAAAAATGTTAAGAAAAAGCTAATAATCATAAAATAACGTACCTATAATGTAAAAATAGAAGTTTAAACCAATATTTTTAGAAAAACTGTTTATCTTTCTATAATACTCAATTATAGTTTTGATATTTCATTAAATAAATATTTTTAGGTGTCTTTTGAAGTGGTGCCGAAATTACCCTACTTTACCCTATATATATATATATATATATATATATATATATATATATATATATATATATATATATATATATATATATATATATATATATATATATATATATATATATATATATATATATATATATATATATATATATATATATATATATATATATATATATATATATATATATATATATATATATATATATATATATATATATATGTATATGTATATATACAGTGGCGACAAAATAAATAGCACAGGTTCATATCCAAAATGTAATGCTTTATTTTCCAGAGATCTAAGTTTTTGAGGCCTAAACTTTTTTAGCCTAATAATATATTAGTTATAAAAGATAACATTACTGATTAAGAAATGAAAGTAGCTTATGTAAAAAAAAAGTACAACCATATAAGTGATTTACAACTACAGAATAAGGGGGCAACTTAAATAGCACACCCTGTAAAAAATTATAATTTTGTCCTTTGGCTACAAAAATCATAAATATGTATAAATAGTTAAAAAAACGTTTTTTGAGGAAAATTAATATTTAGTGGGGTATCCTTTTGAGTCAATAACTGCTTGACAACGATGGCCCATTGAGGAGATCAAGTTTTGGCATCGTTCAGGCGTAATGGCGTCCCAAGCAGCTTTTATTTCAACCCAAAGATGGTCTAAATTTGTTGCAGTTAAACGGTTTATGTTTCTATCAACTTCCTCCCACAAATTTTCTATTGGATTTAGGTCTGGTGACTGCGGGCCATCCTAAAACGTCAATCTTATTAGCGGTAAGCCATACTTTAATACTTTTGGCGGTGTGCTTGGGGTCATTGTTTTGTTGGAATTTCCAAACTAGAGGGAGATTTTCTTGGGCATATGGCAACATCACATTTTCCAGTATTTCTTTGTAAATATGTTGATCCATCATGCCTTGAATTCTATGCAATGGGCCTACTCCACTCCATGAAAAACTACCCCAAACAATCACCTTGCCACCACCATGTTTAACGGTCTTTAAAGTATACTGAGGGCTGAGTTTTTTTCTTGGTTCTGGGGACGACAAACATATTGCTTTCTATCGGATCCAAAGCGATTGAACTTAGACTCGTCAGTCCAAAGCACATTTTTCCAAAAACGCAAGTCCTTGTGTACGTACTGTTTTGCAAACTTCAAACGGCTGACGAGATTACGTTTTGAGACCAATGGTTTTTTTCGAGCAACCCTTCCAAACAGCCTATTTTCGCGTAACCGACTTTTGACTGTGCTGACAGACAGATTGAGTTTTAGATTTTGAGCAATTTGTTCTTTTATTTTTGGTGCCCCAGCAAAAGGATTCAGCTTAGCAATACGAACAATGGCTGCGTCTTCTCTGGGGGTTGTTTCTCGTTCGCGAAACTTGCATTTTTTGTTGCTTAATGAACCAGTATTGTTAAATAATTTAATAGCACTGATAACTTTCTTACGAGAACAACCAAATCTTCGAGCTATTTGAGAATTGTTCAATCCTTGATCTTGATATGCCTGTACTTGTCCTCGAAAGACATCTGTTCCATGTTTACCACGTCCCATAATTGACAGAAAATTATCATTTCATTATTTTTTGCTAAAAATATACAAGAATATACTTAGAATATTAAATAGAATGATTATCTTTTGATATATTACAAAAATTTAGTTTTTTTATAATAAAATGCTAATGTGTGCTATTTAAAATGTCCTCAAAAATGTAAGCACGACCGCTAAAATGCCTCAAACAAGCAATTTTTACAGTTATAAATATAAAATGAGTAATGCCATTCAAAAATGTAAACATTTTTGATGCTATATATATATATATATAAATGCAATAAAAACAAAAATATTGGTACCAAAAAGAAAAACCAACTGGTTATGAAAGTGTGCTATTTATTTTGTCGCCACTGTATATATATATATATATATATATATATATATATATATATATATATATATATATATATATATATATATATATATATATATATATATATATATATATAATATTTAATTTTTAAAAGTATTTGTATTGATGAAGCAACTTACACAAAATAATTTAAATAAAATAGTTGCATCATTGATGAAGCAACTTACACAAAATAATTTAAATAAAATAATTGCATCATTGATGAAGCAATAAACTTACACAAAATAATTTAAATAAAATAATTGCATCATTGATGAAGCAACTTACACAAAATAATGGAACAATTGAGATTAAGTTTGAACAGTTTTTGTAAATAAAAAAGTTTTTTTAAATAAGTCAGAACAATTTTTCTGACCTATTTTATATTTTTTTTCTATAATTATGTATAGGGTACATTTTATGTAAACAAAAAAAAACATTTTTTATGCAAGTCTAAAATAATAGTTTGTATATAAAACGAATACTATTTTTGAAATAATTTTGCTACTTTTTACTTTTAAGGAAATTTTTTTGATAGTTTTAGGGACCTTCCTAATGTTCAAAGGTTTTAAGCAACCCCTGAAATTATATCTAATTATTGAAATCCAGTGTTATTTTTTATATAGAAGACAATTAGGTGGCAATTAGGAGTAAACATTTTCAAAAAAAAATTGGCACTCTACCCTGCATGAGGCTTTTCTGAACATAGCATATTTTTGCATCAGGCTATGCAAACACATTATGTTTTGTTTTTTTAAATGAATTTGAAACATTTACTTAATACAATGATAAGAAAAAAAAACAATGCAAAAGCTTAAGAGTAAAAAAATCTTCAAACAAATATTTTAATTGGATTAGCTCCAGACTAAACTATCTTAAAAATGTTTTAAAAACAAATATTTTAATTGGATTAGCTCCAGACTAAACTATCTTAAAAATGTTTTAAAAATAACAATAATGAAGAAGTCTCTATCTTAATTAAAACATTTTCAGATACATTAGACTACATATATACAAGTGCATTATAATACTTTTCTTTACAATTCTATTGTATTGAATACAAAGTAGATGTTTCAAGCTTTTATTTAAATAACTTTTCAGATGAATTAAATTTAATCAGGACATCCTTTCGTAACTCATAATTGTAACCACATTTTGCAACCTCTCAGGTTGCACAACGTTGCAGATGCCCAAATCAGGCGTTACAGAGTGTACCATATATTATTTATTATAATAGTAAATTTCAATATTAAAAAAAACATATATCTTTGAGTGGGAAATTATAAAATCGATTTTGCTATTTATTTATTTTTTAACAGGCTCCTTTAGAACACACAGTAAATGATTTTTGGAGATGTATTTGGGAAAATAAAATTGAATTAATTGTTATGCTTAATAATGAGTTTACTTCTGAAAATGTAAGTTTTTTCCATTCCTAAAGTTTATTTGAGGTTTTTCTTTAGTTTTATGATTACTATAAAAATTTTGTGTTAAAGATCAAATTTCCATGTTATTGGCCTGAGTCAGCAAATTTACCAATGAGGATTCTTGAAAAGTAGGTTTTTTAAAAACTGATTATTTTCTTTAAGATATATCAAAGTGTAATACCAAATCATTTATTTTTAAGGTTTGAAATAATATTGTTGCACGAAGAGGATTACGGGGTTTACAAGTATAGACAGATACAGTTTAAGAATATCAAAGTAATTATCTCAACACAAGAGACTTTTTTTTTCAAATTTTTTCTTGAAAAATGTTTGAATGTTTTAATTTATTTTGAAGGATTTATAATATATTTTGTAATTAAAATATATTTTATAATTAAGATGGATAAGTCTCTTTTTGTCACACAAGCTGCTTTTTCTCAGTGGCGTGAAAATAGTATACCAGAGGTTCATTTTATTTTTGATATTTTTTTTCAGTTTTATGATATTTTTAAACGTTTATAGTCTTAATTCTTGTAAATGTATTTAACTTAATATCTCCCTAATTTTTAGAAAATGACGGATTATTTAGGGTTTATGAAGTTTATTCAAACATATCGCAACTCTTCTGTAACTCTAGTTCATTGCAGGTATTTTGCGTTTTTATTATTTATCTGCAACAGTTGCTTTCGTTCTTTTGTTTTGTTTTAATTATTAATCGTAAGAATATTTTTTAAGTACTGGAACAGGACGTAGCGCCACGTTTGTTATTATGGATTGTGTTTGGAATGCTTTAGAGCGTGATGTAAAGGTAGTGTCAATATCTTTTATAACCTTTTTGATAATTTGTTTAAATGTTAAACAAAAGTAAAATATATTTTATTTTTAGTTCGATGTATCACATATAGCCAAAAGTTTAAAAGAACAGCGTCAGTTTGTTCTTCAAAATAAAGTAAGAAAATTTTATGTAGTTTTTACTAAATTGGTAGAAAGTATTTCAATAAAAAAGTTTAACTTTACCTTAGCATGTCCCAGATTTAACAAGGAAACTCATTTAAATAATTTTGTTATATATTATATAAAAAAAAAAAAAGAGGAAACTTTGAATATTGCACAAAAATAATGTTGGATTTATTAAAAAAAAAAAGCCTTCTAAAAGTTTAGATTTTCGAAGGTGGTAGTAAAACAAAAGTTTTAAGTTTTTAGGTTTTAATATATTTAGATGCAATCATATTTTATGGTTTAATTAATTATAAAATATTATATTCACCATAAAACAAAAAACTTTTTAATATTTAATTGAAAGAACTATAGTTTACTCACCCCATAATTATTTTCGATATTTTCTATATAAACAACAAAATATAGTTGTAAGTTAGATACCGTGGCTTATACGGATAGGCGGGTTACATATTAAATTATTATAAAAAATTATGTTATCTATGCAATGTCATAGAACAGCTAGTAAATTGTTACATCATTAATTACCAATAAAATCATGGTTTACCAAAAGGGTTGCGTTTTACTTATAACCTACGGAACGTTTTTAATTTTGGAACTTTTAATTTTGAAAGACGATTATGTAGCATGCTGAATAAAAAAATTTTGGATAGTGTAAACAAAGTGTTAATTTATACATTGTTATCTGTGTGTTTGTGAAAAAGTAACTTCATTCTTGTATATGCATTATTTTTAGGAGGATTACATGTTCTGCATCAAGGTCACTCATCACTTACTTCTTGACTCGATCCATCATTATGATTGATCAAACTTTTATCGTTGATCAAGTTTCATATTCAAATAAAATTTTAATAAGTTTAATATATTTTAAATAATTTAAAATTTTTTTACACATTAACGATTATTTTATGATTTTCAATTTGAAAGGTTTGTGAAGAAATTAGTAATCAAAAATATTTATATAAATATTTATTAAAGTATTTAATTAGTTTATATTTTCTAATAAATTTAGTAAACAAATCTTTTTTTCTTCGTTTACTTGTCCTTCAAAATAGCAAGGGGGGAGGTTTTCTACTTGCATAGCGATGTTTTGGGAGCACTAATTTGTTCGCCATTTTTGAACCCATGAATGTTATGTGTTCCAAACATACAATCAATTTGAAAAAAAAAATGTTTCTTTAAATACATTTCAATCAGAGTAAAACCGGGTTTTATTTATATTATAATGAAATTATAGTTTATTTATATTATAATGAAATTATAGTTTATTTATATTATAATGAAATAGATGAATGAAATAAGTATGACAATGTTTATTCTTTTGCTCCTACTTATATATTAAATAAACATTGCTATTCAAGCATGGTGTCCTTATCTTAAACAAGACATTTTAAAGTTAGAAAAAGTACAAAAAAGAGCTACTATGCTAGTACCAGTTTTAAAAAAAAAAATGCCATGTGAACGAAGATAAAATTAACAACACTAGAAGAGCCTCGTTAATTGGATAAACGACTCAATATGTAATGCTCAATTAAAGCATTACAATTTTATTAGTCATAACCTAAAGTTAGCAAAGGTATAATACTACTCTAAGAGTAATGCTAGATTTAATTTCTTTTAGTGCAGAGTTGTAGAAGCTTGAAATGGTTTGCCGTATATATTATAGAATCGATATCAATTGATCAATTCAAAAATTATCTTAAAAAATCAAATTATTGCAAAAATTATTTATTAAATCTTTTTCTGAATAAGATACAAAATAAATAATTTTTTTCTATGAATTGTTAAATTCGGTCGTGTGAAAATTTTTTTTGAAGGTTATTCTTTTTAAAAATAAATAGGCTATTTTTTTTTAATTAAAGTTACTAATAATAATTTACTAATAACGTTTAACGTAATAATAATTTACTAATAACGCCACGGCTGCACCAATGTGCAGCCGTGGCGCAGTGGTTAGAGCGCTTGCTTTATATGCAGGAGATCCAGGTTCGAAACGAGATTTGGACATATTTCGCGTCACGGAAAGGAAAGAGGCGTAAACTTTCTAATTAAATGCACTTCCGCGGTACTCTGTGATAAGACCGTTGGGGCACCTAAATAACAAATAAAAAATATATATATATTTAACCGGCCGTGGCGCAGTGGTTAGCAAGAGATCTCAGGTTCGTAGCGAGCTCTGAGCATATTTCACGCCAGTGCTAAGGAAGGTGGTGTGAACTATCTATTTGAATGCCCTTGCAGTGCTCTGTGACAAGACTGTTAGGTCTTCTTGGGGCACCTTGAGTCAAAATTTAAAAAAACAATCTCCGGGAAAAAGTTATACGATTTTTTAATTTTTTTTTTTTATTATTTATTTGAACATTCATGCTATATTTTTTTATACAATGTTATATCCAATGATATTGTTGGCTTTGCATAGGAACAGCCACAAATAGTCAAGACTAATCCAAAGTAGCGTCCGTTATTGACTAACATTTTTGCGTACAGAAAGACTACTCAAGCGGTAAGTAGGTGGTAAGTTAGTTCAGACATAATTATTAAATAATTATGTCTAAACTAACCAATGGTTCTTTATAAATTCATCGTTCAACTTTTAAATATTATTGCATTTATTTTTACTAGCAGTAAGCAACCCGTAATACGCGTTGTTAGTAAATAAAACTAAAAAAAAAAAAAACGCGTACAGAAAAGCCTAGAAACTACTTTAAAATAGAAAAGCCTAGAAAATGACGTAACTCGACTAATAATAATAATATTAAATTAGCGTATTCATATTATCAGATATGAAATAAATTAAAAAAAAATATATGCCTCGAAAAAACTTGCTCGCAAAAAAAAAAATACACCGAAGTTATTTTCACTTTTATTTTCGCGCTTGCTATGGCACACGGCTGTTTCAAACCGAGCTTAACGGCTTCTTGTTAATTTTTGAAAATATTGACTAAAGGGGTGTTACTAAAACTTTTATAACTTTTGAAATATAAGAGGTAATTTTGTTTTGTAAAAACAATTAAGACATCAATAAAATGTTTTACCTTATGACATTTAATGCATTAGTAGAAAAACTTCTTTTAGTTTAGAATAAATATGACATATATTGAATTTGGCTAAATTTTTGTAATTTGATGTTACTTTTTATCAAAAAAAAATTAGAAAAATATATTCCTAATAGTTATTATCAAATACACTTATTGTTTGACAATAATGAAAACAAAAAAACCTTACTTAATTATTTAAGGTTAACTAAAACAGCCTTAATCGAATTGTGAAAGCAAACCACATTTTTCGCAAAATTATGAAAAACGTTGTTATAAGGGGGGATTAGTTGTTAAATGAGTACTTTTTTTAATATAGAAGTTCTTGATTTAGAAAATTATTTTGGAACGCTGATAAAATCATTACATTACAAAATAAAGTTCTAATAATATGGTGTTAGGTAGTTAATAAATAAAAACTCATCAATTCTAATAAAATAATTCATGACCAAAATTGAGTTAAAGGTTTTGAATTAACCTAGCTTTTGGTAGTAGAATTATTTTATGGTACTTGTATCAATAATCTCTTCTCACAAAAAATAAAGTGTTTAAATATACACAAATAGCTGATTTAAATCTTTTGATAATTCGTTTTTATTTTCATTAAAAACTGTTTTATAATTAGTTGGTCCATTGATAAGTTCTTCAAGCAGTAAACTATCTTTGAACACCCAGATGATACTAGACCCATACATAATTCATTTAAAACCAGAAGAACATTTGGTCAACTTGGCAATTGTGATAATAAAGTTTACAACTTCTTAATTTATCAAGCTAAATTTTTACACCAACTTGATAAATGAGACTTATATTCCATTCTTTAACTAGAGAGGAGGTATGTAGAGCAGAGGTCCTGCGAAGGTAGAACTAACTTTTGATGATAAAAATTGAACAGAGATCTAATATATATAAAAAATGTTACATATTACATAACAAAGGATAAAACGTTTTTTGATTTAACTACATAAACATACAAAATCATATCCAACAAACATACCAGTTGCTCTGATCACAAATTAAAATAGTTAGCTATACATTTGATGCTAGACTTTTATTCCATTCTTTAACCTGAGCAAAGGCATTGCATAGATATAATAAACTTTTGAAAATAGGAACAGAATGGGCATCTACCTAATATATAAAATCATTGTAATAAAAAATTATTATTATTTTGAACAAACATTACAGGCATTAAAACAGAATAGAATTCTTTTATTTGTAAATTAAGGATCTTATATAATTTATCTTAGATGTAAAAAGTTTAATTTTTTTTTTAACTTTTCAAACATTTAAACTAAATTTGATGACCACAAACAAGACAAAGACCTTGTCTATAAAATGAATTTTCGCCACGCTCTGAACACACAACACACTTTCTCACCTTAGAGGCTTGAAGCTTCCTATCAGCTTTGCTGTGCAATTCAAAGCGTTTTAAAACAAGATGCAGCTTTTGCTCCTGATTTCTAACTGAATGCAACTGCCTTAATTCCTTATTTACGCTATTATGCAAACACTCTCCCTCCTCTTCACTCAGCAACCCAATAGTTTTATGCAATTTTACAAATAGTGGCACATTGAAAATGAGTTCATGCATTTTTCGCGTGATACTTTCTTTTGGAAAGCAAGCATGAAACTCAATAGCAAATAAATTTATATATTGATGAAGCTCAGAAATTTCGGCATCAGAAAGAAATTTTCGCTTAAAAAGAATAGGTTGCAAGTTATTAAAAACACTAAACACACGTACAAATCTATTTTTAATTGCTTCATCATCAATAACACTACAAAGTTTATAGTGGTTTCTTAATACTATTTTACAATGATTACCTACAAATACATTACCATGGTAAGCTTGTCGCTCAACTTTCATATCTTCAAGGGCCTTATAAAGAGACCTCTCATGAGTCCCCATGCTACTTATAGATATTTTTTCTAGGTCTTCACACTCTATCTGCAATCGAATATACTCAACGTCTAAAACTTCGCGCTGTGCGCGTATAAAAGAAATTTTTTCAGAAATATAAAGGTCAAGACATTCTAAATCTTCACCCTGACATGCTAAACACTCATACTTCTCTATATCACACAATACATTCTTTTCCGAACCACCAATAATTTCACAAAATTGATGGAACAATTTTTGGCACGTACCACACTGCACCCAATCAATGTTACAATCATATTTAGTAATTAAACACCTGATACTAGCACACTTTTCTTGCTGTTTACAGGTTTTTTTTTTATTGGAGGAGTTTAGAGATATGCATTCCAATTCAGAAATATTTTTATCAAAAGCTAACCAACGAGTCTGTAGATTTGCAACGTCTACAAATTGATTTCCTAATAAACGTAAAGAGTCTGCTGTTTTAGAACATTCAAAGCTTTTAGCAGCCCACAATTCATTCGTTCTCACATTCTCATTATGCGACAAAGACGAAACAGCTTGACAATCCAAAGTCTTACACTCCTTCAACAATAACTTATAAAGTTTTAACACAACTCCTAACATAATATGCAAAACAGGTGGCACTACATTATCTAAAGTTATTATGGGGAAAATCACAGGAGCAATAATTGAATTATGAAACTTATCTAGAGCTCTTAGGTTTCCACCTTGTCTATCTTCACACAAGTTCTCATTGTAAGCACTTTCCAGAGATTGTATTGTCCTCCTTAAGATGTTACAATTAGCAGGTGTGTGAGGCATAGAAGCATGGTTTCTTAGAGAATTCAACTTAACTAGGTCTGTAGAACTAGGAAAGCTAGCAGCTGAACCCTGGTGTCCCAGAACATCATCGATAAAATGAAAATCTCCACCTAAGAACAACCTGACTATTTTGCCTTTTAGCTTAAAATC